ACCCCTCTACCTTGGGAACCACAAGCCTATTCTCTCTCTCTTTTTTTTAAAATAAATGTATGTATTTATTTTTATTTGTTTATTTTTGGCTGCACTGGGTCTCTTGCTCTGCGTGGGCTTTCTCTAGTTGCGGTGAGCAGGGGCTACTCTTCCTTGCGCTGCGCGGGCTTCTCATTGCAGTGTCTGCTCTTGTTGCGAAGCACGGGCTCTAGGCACGCGGGCTTCAGTAGTTGGGGCACACAGGCTCAGTAGTTGTGGTTCACGGGCTCTAGAGTGCAGGCTCAGTAATTGTGGCGCACGGGCTTAGTTGCTCCGCGGCATCACAAGCCTATTCTCTATATCTATGAGTCTGTTTCTGTTTTGTAGATAAGTTCATTTGTGTCATAGTTTAGATTCCACATATAAGTGATATCATATGGTATTTGTTTTTCTGACTTACTTCAATTTAGTAAAAATTACAATCTCTAGGTCCACCCTTGTTGTTGCAAATGGCATTATTTCATTTTTTATGGCCGAGTAATATTCCATTGTATGTATGTACCACATACATATTCTTTATCTGCTCATCTGTCGATGGACTTTTAGGTTGCTTCCATGTCTTGGCTGTTGTAAATAGTGCTGCTATGAATATAGGGGTATATGTATCTTTTTGAATTAAAGTTTTTTCCGGATATATACCCAGAAGTGGGATTGCTGGATGATATGGCAACTCTATTTTTAGTTTTTTGAGGAACCTCCATACTGTTTTCCATAGCGGCTGCACCAATTTACATTCCAACCCACAGTGTAGGAGGGTTCCTAGAGGAGCTTTTTGATGTCTTTCAATTAGTAGCTCTATGGCCTTGGCTTTTCTGGGCCTCAGATTAGCATCTGCAAGTGGTGATCCTAATAGCACCTTTCCTTATGGGGTGGGCTCGAGGATTAAATGATAATCCCTGTCAAGTATTAAATCCAGGTTCTAGAATAAAATAGTGCTAATAAACACTAGTTACCATTGATGGTAATAGCATTTTCTTTTGACTTTCAAGGTAGTGAAACATTGATGCCTAATGTTGCAAAAATGCTGCATTTACAAGTCATTGGCAGTGTCCTAAAAGATGTTATGATGTAACTGTGATGCTTAGAAAACATTTTTCTTAAGCAGTCAGAATCTTTCATTTAATAACAATCTGTTGGGTACCCAATATCTGTAAATACATTTCCAGGATAAAGGGATTATGAAAAGGAAGAAGAGATGGCTTTTGCCTTTGAGTACTTCATGATGTTATATGCATTAGCAATGGCTACATTTTAAATAGGCTATAGTTAACCTAAGTTTTTAGAATAGTGTTTTCAGCCAACTACACATATATTCTAACACAGACAAAAATTAAGGTGATTATCCTTTTAAAAAGTAAGACCAAGTCTAAAATATCACACTTCAGAGTTGTTTTTATTTTAACTTCCTGCCCCTTGGTCCCAAATGTCAATTTATCTCCCCCACTCCTACTACAAATTGTCAGTTTATGTCTCTGCCACCCTTCATACATCTACCCCCGATTACGGGATTATTATAAAGCAGTTATATACTGTTGTGTTAGAAACAATTTTGTACATTTTTTCAAGATAATTATTTGAAAACAGGTTTGTTTTAATGTGAAGTAGCATAATGCTGTAATTTGTAGTTTATTTAGATTAGAAACTTGGTCTAGTGCAGTGGCTTTTAACTTGGCCAGATTTTTATCAAAAAGGCAATGTTGTTATTGATTTCTTACATTTTTAAAAATTCATCAAGGCTTTGGTACTCTTACGTTCATTTGAAGCCCTTGTTTGTTATGTGAAAGCAAACTTGTCATCTCTTTTTATCAGTTCCTTGTTCTCCCAGTTTCCCCAGTCCCCCTAGGATGTTAGACCTGGGAAAGACCTTAACATCCCATCCTTTTCATCTCCTGCGCCTTTAGCAGAGGAGAAAAATGAGACCCAGAGAGGTTAGGGGGCTTGCCTGGGGTCACACAGTGGATGTGGGGCTGAGTCCTCCCTCCACACGGGGCCCCTCTCCCTAGCTGGGAATATTCTCTTTCCTTTGACCCCCTCCTGCACTTTCTAAGCTGTCACCAAGTCTTGTTACCGTTTCCTTGAAATGCCTCTTGTTTTCCTTCCTTCCCATTTCTTTCTGTCTTATCCAGTCCCTCCACTCCTCACAATGGGAAAGGCTGACAGAGCGCTTTATCTTTGGGGCATCCATCATACAAGATTACTTTTCTCTAATTACCACTGTCAGCCTGTCACTCCTCTGCTGCGAAGTTGCCAAGAGCTCCCTGCTTCCTGTGGCAACAAACGTCATCACTTCTCTTAATGCCAGTTCCCTCAGAACCTCACTTCACTATGTGTGCTCAGCTTTATTCCTTTCTTCCCATGAACCCCAAAGGCCCAGAGTCTTCTCTCGGTTTGCTCCGTGAATCAGCCATGTTTCCTTTATGGCTTTAGTATGTCCTGTTCCCCAGCTCCTAAGCGCTTCCCCTGCCTTTCCAAAGACTCCCCTTTTCGAGGCCAAATCCAGATCCCACCACCTTCTCATTGTTTTCCCTGTTACTCCAGCGATAATCCAATGATCCCCTTTATTCCCCAACTTTTTCTTCTTATGCACTAACATGTAGCATTGGTCAGCATAGCCTCTCTTACATGGCTCTCTGGTTTTTCCCCACAATTGTGTTGCCGTCTCAATTATGCTTAATGCTCTTAGAAGGCAGGGCTTATGTTTATGCTTTTCTCATATACTCCACGTTTTACATTGCCTAAATAAGTGGTCAGTAAATACTCCTTGCTTATTAGGGACTCTTTGAGCTTTTCAAAGGTGTTGGCCAGAGCTGCAAGCAATTGAGACATTTTACAGTGTTCACTGCTCGGATCACGATCAGTTGTTAATACTGCAGAACAGCCCTCTCCCGACCGCCAGGTGTTGATGGGATCGGCGCTGTCGTTGTTAATGATCTTCTGCGGGGACTGGCTATATAGGTGTGGAGCTCACACTCATAGTTGGTGATTGGGCGGTGGGTTCGTGGCAGGGAGGTGAGAGCGTGCACCCCTGCCTCTTGGGTCTTACAGTAGGGAAGAGCTCTTCAAGAATGGATAGGAAGCGCATTATTCTCTGAGCTCCACAGATTCTCAGCACACCAGTGTGAAATGGGAACTGGCCTGGCTCCCCTCCCACTGTGTGTTTTTGAGCCAGTAGTGACCTTGGTGCTCTCTTTTCTACAATACTGGCACAATGTCCTAAGATTTAATCTCATCTTTTTCAAAACCCAGTAAATACCTTCCCCAAAAAAGGTAAGCATGCTGTAATAAGTTCCTGGTATTGGAAAAAGGAATGTGTCCTATTTAAAGAAGACAGCGTCTGCTTTCTGAATTTCACTGTCCCTTTTCCACACTTCCTACCTTTCCTGGTAGTCATTTCCAGACTGAGGCAACTGCAAATTTTACTGCACCTGGGACTACACTCTCCCCACAGCATAACCCCTACAAGAATGTCCTCCACTGAGGGCTCATAAACTTGGAACTGTTTTTTTCTGTAATGTCAGCAAGACTCATTCCACCCATACAAATATGCTTTGGCCTTTTTCCTCTTTGGCACAAAAGAGAATTGGCAGAGACTCTGATAAAAGTGAAGTCGACAAGCTCTGGCTTGGAAGTGAGTTCAGTGCCTCTGGGCTTGTCATGCCCCTTGTTCCTGTGTGTTCTGAATTCTTGTCCCACCCAGAAAGTTCTCTCTTCCCATCTGTGACACCTAAAGATGTTTCACATCCCGCTTCCTTTGTTAATGTCTCCATCACAGGTAGTAAGATACTGCATCTCTTCAGTTACAGAAAGTTACTTGAACTGGAGTCACCTTAAGGTTTTTTTAATCCCTTTAGGTGGATGGAAGTCTGCTTAGTTGAAGAATTGCCACCAACCACTGAACTGGAAGAAGGGCTCCGGAACGGAGTTTACCTTGCAAAGTTAGCCAAGTTCTTTGCCCCCAAAATGGTATCGGAGAAAAAGATCTATGATGTGGAACAAACACGTTACAAGGTAACTGAGATCTAATTGGTCTGGCCTCCAGCTCAAAGTGGAAGTTCAGTCTTTCCCTTCCTTTCCTTTCTTTTAGTGTTTCTATAAGGATTTGGTGGGAGATGGGTTGTGGGGAAAGGGGATGTCCTTGGTCTTTTAAGCCTGTAAATAATCATTCCTGAGGCAGCAGCAATTTTAAAAGCAAAGCATTTGTCTATTTCTGGTCTGAGGCCGAGAGATCTCTGCTTTATGGGGCTTCCCAGCTCCCACCCCCTTTATTCCTTCATGGAGGTCATTTTATTAGTGCCAGTAACTGTAAGAGTGGGGGGCCCTCTACCCCTCCTTTTTTCACCATCAACACAGTTTATTACTCCCCTTGTTCTCATCAAGGAATAAAGTACCCAACTGGGACTTGAACTTGTGGCCCTAAAGAGTTAGGCCCAAGGTGATTTAAAAAAAAAATTCTGATATTGAATAGTCAGGAACTCCTTTCCTTTTGGTGTTTAAAACAAATTAAGACTACCCTTTTTATATGCAGCTAGTTTTAAGAATTATTTCATGGCTAATTTGGGAAGGCATATGGGTGAGAAAACCAAACCAAAATAAATACCAATCTTGTATTAATAAAAAAAATTCTGATATTTTTCAGATACATGTTTAAGTATTTTCAGATAAAGTAATACATCTATCATTTGCTTCAAAATAACTGGGAGGAGGTTGGACAGGTGATTCAAGACTGGCCATGAGTTCATAGTTGTTGAGATTAGATGAGGCATGCAAATGAGTTTATTATACTATTCTGTCCAATTTTTATGTTTAAAATTTTCCATTAAAAAGCAAAGGAGGAAAAAGTAAACAGCAGCCTGAAAGACCCCTTCATTATATGTGTCTTCAAAAGGGAATTTTAAAATTTGTGCTGTTGGGGCTTCCCTGGTGGTGCAATGGTTGGGAGTCCGCCTGCCGATGCAGGGGACACGGGTTCGTGCCCCGGTCCGGGAAGATCCCACATGCCACGGAGCGGCTGGGCCCGTGAGCCATGGCCGCTGAGCCTGCGCATCCGGAGCCTGTGCTCTGCAACGGGAGAGGCCACAACAGTGAGAGGCCCGCGTACCGCAAAAAAAAAAAAAAATGTGTGCTATTCCCTCCTGGAACATGTGATCCGTTCTCCACTTTGGGTCAGGGTTTCTAAAGCTTCTTTGAAACTCGATTCTTTATTTTCTTAATATATTGTATTTGGTTTTTTATATCAGTATTTTTTATCTGCAGATTTTCAAGTATCCTTAAAAGTTATTTCTCTTAAAATGTCAAGGGTAACATTAAGTATAGTTGAAAATGGAATGATTTTCCATTTATTGCATGCCACACTACCCTTCAGTTGTTACTGAGACAAAATTTATTTTTTAAATGTGTATATTGAATTCAGAGCAAATGTTTGAGTAATGCTTTATGCTAACAGTAGACAAGATGAATTGACATCTTTTTTGACAACTCTCTTTTCATCATCTAGCCCAAAAGGGAATTGAGCAAAAGTTTCTGCCTTGAATAACGTTATGAATAAAAGTGTTTGCATATCTTAAAATAAGTTTGAGTTTATTAAGTCATGTGTTTATTAACTCTAGATGTTTCTCCCTAGAGTAAGTTTTCGGCCTTTTGTAAGACTTAAGTGAAACAAATGACTTAGCCAGCCAAAATTAAAGTTTGTTTTTTGAGGAATACTTTAAAAGTTCAGAAAAGCACGGTAAAAAATAATTTGTATCCCCCTTGTCACAAAATAAATGAACATTTATCCACATTTTAGAGCACGATTTTTGTTTTATTTTCATTACTGTAATGGTAGTTACCAAGATCTAGGCCTATTAGTACTAACAGCCATGTAGATTTTTTTTTTTTTTTTTTTTTGCGGTACGCGGGCCTCTCACTGCTGTGGCCTCTCCCGTTGCGGAGCACAGGCTCCGGACGCGCAGGCTCAGCGGCCATGGCTCACGGGCCCAGCCGCTCCGCGGCATGTGGGATCTTCCCGGACCGGGGCACGAACCCGTGTCCCTTGCATCAGCAGGCGGACTCTCAACCACTGCGCCACCAGGGAAGCCCCAGCCATGTAGATTTGATGATAGAGTTAAAGTGTAGTTGGCTCCAGGCCTCCCTGGAAAGAGATTGTGGGTATGTTGATGTGTGGATAGTGAGAATCAGGCCAGAAAGACAGACCTTTAGTGAAGGTGAGACTCAGAGCAGCGGGTGGGCTGATTCTTCCCTCTCCTGGCACATTATACACCTTGAATATAGGTGTCTCTTCCCAGTTCAGCTGTGGACCCCCTCATAGCAACTTAAACAGGTACTGTTTCCTCCTGGCATCAGAGATCCTGTTATTTGCATCAGTAGCAGCTTCTCTTTGGGATGGGGACGGGGAAGTGATTCCAATTTCTTGTTAAGAAATAAAATACCTGTGGCGCCTAAGCGGATGGTGACATCCTGAGCAACACATCGTGCCAGAGGGAAGTGCTCTATGTTGCTGTCACCCGTGCCGTCAGGCCTCCACTGGGGTGCACAGAAGAAAGGATGCTAGGAGAGGGAGAGGCATGGAAAGAAGGGAGGTGGTGGATGGAGGGTGGTAGATGCCAGCTGTGATGTGGGAGAAACATGGGACAAATGGAAACTAGCCCTCTGTTAATTCACTGGAGAAAAGAGGCTTTTCTAAAAAAAAAAAAAAAGAGGCTTTTCATTTTCTCCTTTTATTAAATCCTTGAAAGTGTCCTTGAATGGAAATTGTCAGTGATTTGCCATGTAATCATAAATTTTTACTTTAAGGCCATTTCATTTCGTCTACAGAAATGAAAGGAGACCAGTACTAGTGGGCAGGAGACTTAGCTTCCCGTTCATGTGTTCTTCAGGTCTAAAGCCCGTCACGCACGTGGTCCTTTCTAAGGAGCACTAAATCACGGGACTGCGACAGAGACGTTGAAACACAAGGGAACACTTGCTAACCTAGGCCTGTCTCTTGATGTGCCGTCTGGAAACCATGAGTTCAGTGAGCCTGGGTGCTCGCTGCAGGGTCTGCCTGGACTGCAGCCATAAAATATGACCCACCTGTTGGGCAGGGTGTCGCCGATGCAAAAGCTCCGTCCCGAATCGCAAGGCCCCAGTTGTGGCACTGATGATGGCTTTGAGCTAAGTAGATGGGAGCTTTCATGCTGCTCCATCCTCTTTGTCTGCCAGCTTATGTACAGCCTTGGCCCCTCATTAACTTAGGTTTAGAAAGATATGCTAGGTATTAGAGTTAAACCTTCCAGGGATGAGTATTCTTTCCCTGACCATTCCCACCACCCCCCTTCCAGGTCTGAGTTGCATGATCATGCCATGCACACAAGGACACACCACGGAGTACTGTAATGATTAGTTTGTCATGAAGGCAAGAACTGTGTGTGTCTCCTCTGTCATATCCTCAGCGAATGGTGCAGGTTCTGGCCCATAGGGTGTGCTAGGGAAATAGCTGTTGGGTGAAGGAACGAATGACAGTAGTTTGTAGTAAGCCAGAGTACTCCGTTTCTTGTCTTCTATGCTTTATTCAGTACTTTATTCAATATTTACTGAAACTCTTCCTCTAAGTGTGATGCTCAAACTTCCTGTGGGACCCCCTGATGGGTGTGTGTAAAAACGTCAACTTTTGGGCCCCATCCCAGACTACTGAGTCAGGCAGAATCTTAGCCAGGGACCCAGGAAGCTGCATTCTTAATAATCGCCCCAGGCAGTTTTTTCCTTAGAGTCTACAAAGGTTTGACTATAGGCAGACACACATTAATATACATTTTAATAAAGTTATACAGAAAGCAGATAAAATTGTCCTAAGATAGAAATACATAAAGGATAGGACTCAATTATCCATACAGTACTTACTAGTACCTACCATGTGGCAGCCACTGTTCCAGGCACCAATGGCAGAGTGGGCAACAGGGCAGACATGATTTCATGGTCAGCTGGAGAGAGAGACTGTGAGTAAAATAGACAGTTGTGAATTGTGATAAGTGTATGAAGGAAGAAATGAAAGCCAGAATTATTGACAGATGGCCATGGGCCTCTCTGAGGAGACATTTACTCTGAGGCTGGAAGAATGAGAGGAAACTCATCCGTGTGGAGAGTTAAGCGTAGGGAATGGGGAGGATGGTCCAGAGAGAAGGGACCCATTTGTGAGAAGCTCAAGGAAGAAAAGAGCTTGGCCAAGTTGAGTGGCTGAAAGGCTACGGTGAGGGACAGTGGTAAGAAATGAGACCAGGAGGGAAGCAGAGACAGATTACTCAGTGACACATGGAGGACCTAAGTACAATGAGTGACTTCAACCTAAGTACAGGGGGAAGCTGTTTCAGTGTTGGCAGAGACATCATGGTACAGTTTGTGCTTTAGAAAGATTTCTCTGCTGCTATTTGGAGAACACATTGGAGGGAGGGTGGACGTGCAGGCAGAGTGCATGAGGGGATTACTCAGTCCAGGTGACAGGTGACAGTGGCCTGCAGAGACAAGAAGTGAGTGGATTCAAGAGGGAAAACAAAGGGTGAATCCTGGAAAGGGGCTGGAAATGGGTGGAGGGCAGTGAAGAGAAGATGGCTGGGTAGATGGTAGGAGCCAACCAAGAATAGTGTGGTCAGTTCTAAAGGGGGTTGGGCTGGTAAAGAAGCCAGGAAGTTTTCCATGGTGGGGCTTGAAGGATGAATGTTCCCAAGCCAACGAGGATGACCAAGAGAAAGAGGAGGAGGTAGGAGGGGCAGTCCTTGGAGAGGATTCAGTCTAATAAGGCTCAAAGCCAAAGAACACTATCACTCTGGACAGTGCATTGACAGTTGCAGACGTACAATAAACGCACATTGAACATTTAGGTGGGCCTTAGATAGGGAAAGCATGTACATAGTGGTCAGTAGTATGAGCTGTAGAACCAAAACACCTCAGAATCTGGCTTCGCCACTAACTTTGCCTCTGTGAGCTTCAGTTTCCTCCAATGTAAAGTGGGAAAATAGTAACAATATCAACCTTGTTGAGAAATTGTGAAGAACAAATGTGATCTATGCAAGGCCCAGTGCCTGCCTGACAGAGGTAAGCACACTGTAAGTGTTACACTGTAACTGTTACAGGTGTTTGTCCTGAGGCTCTGTGAGCAGTAAATTGACCAGAATATTTGGACTTGAAGTCAGGGAATTCTGCAAGCTAGTCTTGACCCAGAGCTCAACAAGTTATGTCAAGTCGAGTGTCTTAAATACTTAGGGCATCAGTTGCCTCATATATAAAATGAGCAAATTGGAATAATTACTGGTTTTAAACTACCTCATCGTTCTAAAATGCTTTGATCCTAATATGTAAAAAGTTACCATCCAAAGAAGACTTACATAATACCTCATCTATTCAATTTAAACTGCAGTAATCTTTTTCGCTGGTGCTGTAGTAGCTCAGCAGTAGAAAATCAGCATATACTCTCTAGTCTAATACATGAAAGAAATTAGGTAGATGTGCAGTAACAGCCCTTGGCCAAGTTACGACTATAGACATACCACCTAGCCTAATATATTAATATTACTGTAGGACTGGTGAAAAAATAGACAAGTTATAAATGGCTATAGTAGACTAAGATTATTTTGAGCCTGTTTGGAAGATCGTTTTTGTTCTAATTGAAGTAAACGTGGTAGATTGAAGATGTTAATGCAGTTCGCTCACTGAAGCTTACTTCTTAAATAGGCAGGCATGGACCATAGGGTTCTGAGGTCAGCATTCCTGAGGTGTTTAAAGCGGACGAAGGATTTAAAATCTATCACTCATTTACCGTAGAAATATGACTCTGATAACCACCCTTTCCTTCAGTGCCTCTCACATGAAGCGCTAAACCTTTTTCTGGCCTTACAGGTGAATAAAAGTTTCAAGCCCAGTCTTATAATTACAATAACTAACATTTATTGCATTTTAGGTGTACTTTGCAACTAAGTGTTATATGTATAAATCTCATTAAATCCTCAACCCAAAGAAGCATACCATTCCCTTTTGTAGCCAAGGAACCAAGGTTCAAAGAGATTTGTAACTTTCCTGAGGTTACCTAGCTAATGAAACTACTAAATGGATGGGATGTTTTTGTTATATAATTTGGATTGTTGAAGGCTACCAGCCAAAGACTCTCAGAAACCAACATAAAATTATATTTATTTAAATATGATGTGCCAAGAAAAAATGCGTACCCACGGAGCTATAAGGAAGAGAAAATAGCTTAGTGGAGATTTGAGCTTGTACTGAGTGATTCTAATAAGGATTTAGGGAAGCGCAAGGATCGTTGCAGTGTTGTCAGGAAGCGTGATCAGTTTGGTATCTTGGTAATTTTTATCTAGGAGGTGAGAATATTGAATAGGAACCAGATTGACATCAGACAAGAAATAAGTCGCCTGTCTTAGTTGGAAGAGGGTGATGTTTAGTTACTTTGTGGTGTTGAGGTCCTCTGCCCTGACGTGATTGAGGATTATCTCCGCTTTGTCCCTCCACGGTCGCAGAGCGGCCGTGTCTGAGAAGTGTTTGTATTCTGCAAAAGTTGATGCGGAGTTACCCTCAGACACTACCACCTGGCTGTTAACTGTCTGCGTGCTCTCTCTCTCTTTATTCTTTAACATCCTTCCTCTCTTTCCGTACACTTCCCCCTCCCTCTAGTTATTTCATGGTAATTAGCTAATCTCTTCCCTGTGAAGAATAATCCCCTGGTCATTATGTCCTGCCCTCTTTCCTGGGGAGTGTTAGCACAGGAAAGGTTTTAAGATCCACAGAGACCTAGTCTTGAATCCCAGCTCAGCCCCTTAAGAGCTGTTTGACTTTAGGCAAGTCACTTCATCTTTTTGGCCTAGATTTCCTCATCTCTAAAAAATGAGAATGATAACTACCTTGCAGAGTGTTTTGAAAATCAGAGATAATTTATGTAAAGTGCTTGACACACACAGTCCAATCTTAATAAATAGTGGCCACTGGGCTTCCCTGGTGGCGCAGTCGTTGAGAGTCCGCCTGCCGATGCAGGGGGACACGGGTTCGTGCCCTGGTCTGGGAAGATCCCACATGCCGCGGAGCGGCTGGGCCTGTGAGCCATGGCCGCTAAGCCTGTGCATCCGGAGCCTGTGCTCCGCAACGGGAGAGGCCACAGCAGTGAGAGGCCCGCGTACCGCAAAAAAAAAAAAAAAAAAAAATAGTGGCCACTATCAAAAGCACGTAAATATTTGTCAAATGTTAATTAGCTTATACTTCCTAATTCCTTACAGCAACAAAAATGCTTTCCAACTATTAGATTGTAAAAGGTCACGTAAGATGACCCTTTTTCCCTTCACAAAAGGGAAGAGCTAGACTTTCTGAATGTGATGATCTACCACTGGGTGTTAGTTATGATGAAACTTGCTGTAGTTACTTCTTATTTTATTTGAAATGAAAATAAAATACATAACATTACGGTACACATTTAACTAATGAAATATATAAGATCATTTTAAAGCTCACAATGGTTCATTGCTTGATAAAACTTCATGAAATAGCAACAAGAATACTTTATTTATGGAGAAAATAGTGGCTGGCTGATTAGGACCGTTAGGAATGGAAAACATAGCCTATTTTTATTATATGAGTAGAAAAAGGTCTTGTAAAATATTTCCAGTGAAAGTTTACTTCTTGTACAAGGCCAAGATTACAATTAGATTATAGAAGGAATAAATACTAAAATTAGCTCTGAATCGTGGGGTGCTTTTTGTTTTCATCTTTGTATTTTTCTACATTTTTCAGGTTTTTTACAGAAATCGTACTACATTCGTGATCAGAAAAAATGGTTTGGCAGAGCCAGAAACCACCAAAAAAAAGGCATTTAGTCTTCTAAAAATCCTTTTTTTTTCTTGAAGTTACAGTCCTCTCAGCTGTGGTTGCCACAGTCTTGACATGGTGTGTGTGTGTGTGTGTGTGTGTGTGTGTGTGCATGCGCACGTGCGCACATGCTCATGTATGTGCACGTGTGTCTCATAAAACATCCTAAGGCGTGCTAGACAGAAAATGGTCTTTGAGATTCTAGTTCAGAATTACCTCAAACGTGTGAATTCTGGGAACTGGGACGGTCCATCCCAAATGGTTGCAGTGTTGCTGAGATAGTGTCATCTCCTTTATTGGATCTCTGGTTGTTTTATATGAGCGTTCATAACACGATTCTAGGAGAAAGACAATTGAAAGCATCCTGCTAATGAAAAAAGTTATTACTTTTTTGACTCACTGTTTGTGCGTTCCCTTCTTTCCACACCCCCTCCCCCAACCATCACCCATCCTCACGTTAGAAGTCGGGCCTTCATTTTCGACACACGGATAACACCGTCCAGTGGTTAAGAGCGATGGAGTCTATTGGTCTACCCAAGGTAAGCCTGAACTGGGAAAACAAAAGGAGTAATGCAAACACCTCACTGTGGAAAGAAATTTAGCAGACTGGGGTACGTTAATGCAGCAAATGTCATTATTGCCTCAGAAATGAGAAATGTGAGAACTAACAGAAATATGGAAAGGCCTATAAAAAGTAACATACGGCAAGAACTCAGACTGAGAGCAGCCAGGTGAAAGTGTGTATAAATTAAACAAGGTATAAAGCAGAAACTGACACACCATTGTAAAGCAATTATACTCTAATAAAGATGTTAAAAAAGAAAAAAAACCCACTTAATATAAAAATAAATAAATTAAAAATATATATATATATTAGGACTTCTCTGGTGGCGCAGTGGTTGAGAGTCCGCCTGCCGATGCAGGGGACACGGGTTCGTGCCCCGGTCCGGGAAGATCCCACATGCCGTGGAGCGGCTGGGCCCGTGAGCCATGGCCGCTGAGCCTGCGCGTCCGGAGCCTGTGCTCCGCAACGGGAGAGGCCACAACAGTGAGAGGCCCGCGTACTGCAAATAAATAAATCAATTAATTAATTAATTAATTAAACAAGGTCGGAGCAGGCTTTGGCTGGTAGATAGTTGATTTAGAAGAGCCACCTCCCTTTTTTGTGTTGCTTTTTATACTTAAGATTCCAAGTCTCATTGTATCCGTATATATTGTATCACTATAAATCATCATTATAAATTTATTTCGATAAAGTATTATTATAAATCATAGTATCACTTTAAATTTTACTGGCTAGGGGGATAGAGCTCTTACTCTTGAAATAGATCTCCCAAATAAAACTCATTCAGCAAATATTCAGAACTTGTTAAATTCAAAGAGCAGGCACCCTTACACCTGTGAGATATATAGACAAGTGGAGGAAATGAAGAAATAATTACATGTGATAGAAATTGTAGAGCTATTTCTTAAACTTCTTATTTTGAAATAATTTTAGAATCACAGGAAGTTGCAAAAATAGTACATCTTTGTGTAAACTTCATTCAGCTTCCCCTAATGGTGACATCTCATAACTAGTACAGAATTAAATTGACATTGGTGTATTAATGTTAACTAGACTCCAGACTTTATTCAGTGTTCACCATTTTTATATGCATTCATTTGTGTGTGTGTGTGTGTGTGTGTGTGTGTAGTTCTATGCATGAATAGATTTGTGTGACCACCACCACAATCAAGATGCCGATACTGCAGAGAGGTTGGACATTATATATAGCATCCCTTCCCCAGCCCTGTCTCCTGGCAGCCACTAATCTATTCTCTATCTCTATAGTTTTGTCATTTTGAGAATGTTATAGAAATGGAACCATACAGTAGGTAACCTTTTGAGATTGACTTTTTTCACTAAGCATAATTCACTTGAGATGCATCAGGTTTCTATATGTACCAATAGTTCCCTTTTTTGAATTGCTCAATATGTACAGCTATTTTAAAGAAATGATTTAAGAGTGATCCAGCAAGGGTATCGGCTACTGACTTATTTAGACCTATGTTGTTGTTCTTATTAGTAATCCAGGTTTGCAATTAAAAACACACCCCACAACGAAAACAAAGGACTCCTTCATGTAAATTATGAATGCCTTTTTTTAAATACATTTGTGCTAATACCTGTTTTAACTCAGCTCCTTTTTTCTTGCAATAGTCAATGTTGATCTATTTTATTTTGCCTTTTTTTAATCAAACTACTTTCCCTTCTAAAATGTTGAAAACATTGAATAGTGTTCCTTTCTGGGCAATAGTTATAATAGAGAGTTCATATTTATTTCTAAACTGCAATTTAGTAAGTACTAACAGGGTGTTGAGTGGTAAACAGATTAATAACGACAGACATTGAAATGCAGTTTTTCTGTATGAGGCAGCATATGTTAAATTAGGATAATTTCATTATGATTTAAACCTTCTCAAATTGTGTGTATGTTGGACCACATTTATTTTGACTTTAAGCCAAACAAGTGATCCATGTAACAGATTCTATTTTAACCCTGATGTTTATTATGAAGTCAGTGATACATTACATTGCAGGAAATGAGAGGCCAACAGTATACTGAATTGACTTTGATATATTAATTAATTCCTTCATTTATCAATATGAACTGCCTACCCTGTGCTCAGTGTCATGTTACACATTGGAGTTACAATGTTGAAGAAAACGTTTCAGTAAACTATAAATTGATCCCATCTTCTTCTATAAATTGAAGAAGAAGACATATTCATGATGATTTTCCAGGAGAAATATCAGTGTAAAAGGTTCTTGTTTAAAGAAGAGAGGGAGAGTTATAGTGGTCCTCTGCTTACACAGTAGAATTTTAAACCTAGTCATATTCTTCTGAATTGGGAATCCTCTTCTCATTGGTACTTTAACAGCAAAAGTATTAAAGGAAAGTTGGAAAGACCTTTGAAATTTCATAAGCTACAGATATTTCTGTAAGCCCTCAGTGACTGTACATTTGTAGCTCAAGAAGCTTTGCTTTTCTCTTTTCTTAGCTTTTTTCAATGTCCAGTAGAAAATTTTGCTTGAGTGTCAAGTACTACCATATGGTACATGATTTAATTTTAGTTTTTATGTCAAATTTTATAAAATATTTACTGAAAGCAAGTAATGCCAACAAGCTTATCTTAATCTCAGAAGCTTCAATCCTAATTACTCATTTTTGGTGCCCCATTCTGAAATCTGTTTCTTATTAGGCTTTTAGTTTCAAGCTCAAGAAGAGTATAAAGGTGTATTAAAAGTTTTAGTGTTCAGACTTTTCAGTCTACTAACTCCATACATAGATGGTTATCCAAAAGAAGCAATCAGGTGCTCAGAAAATGCAGGGATATTTATTGTAGTGACTTATAATAGGGACAAAATTGGGGGTAAAAAATTGTTCAACCCTGGAGAACTGGTTATAATTATGGTTCAAAAATATCAAAGAATCATATGCATCTATTTAGAAATAATGTTCTTACAGAGTAATGAAAGGAATGTAAAACAGTCATGTTCTATTAAGTGTTAAATAGGTTTGTAATACATGCAGTTTGGTTTTTAAACACTCACATACATAAACATAAAAAATCAGAGACATACAGAAAAAAGACTGGAAGAAAATATACCAAAATGCTAATAGTGGGGTTATAGGTATTTTTGGAGGTGGGGTTATAGGTATTTTCCTTTCATTCTTTATCTACTTTCCAGATTTTATTCAGTGAAAATGGATACTTTTTTTTTCTGCTTAAAGTAATACATGCATATGTGTGCATTGTATGTGTGTACACGCATATTTACGGAACTGTGTAGCCAAGTTCTTAACAACGTAATAAAATGCTTTCAAGAGGACACCCTTCTCTGGGCAGTCACAAGAGTGACTCTGATACAGAAAGCAAAGCCTACATGGGCTCATGCCTTGTGCAATGAAACTGCTGCCCAGCCCTGTGGACAAAGCCTTCTTGGAGTGGCTGACTGTGAATCCCCCACTCTCCTGAGCCACTAGGAGGCGCTGTCAGGCAAGGGACCAGATGCAGTGATTGGTCCGCATGAAGAACAAGATGAGGCACAAATGGAGTTTCCTCTTCATTTAAATAAATATAGAACAGCAAGGACAATCAGAGTAGGGTCATTTGGGAGAGTTAAAATAATTGTGAAAATAATAAACACATTTTTCCCTTTTGTTTTCCAGATATTTTACCCAGAAACAACAGATGTCTATGACCGGAAAAACATACCAAGAATGATATATTGCATTCACGCACTGAGGTGGGAAAAAAAATACATTTGAAGTCTAGGAAGTAAATTTAAATAAAACCACAATTTCAGTTTTGAAAGAGAGCTCTTTTTTTTTATTTCAAGTTTTTTTAATAATCTGAACTTCTTTTTAAATTGAGTTCTAAATTTGCTGGTATAAAATTAAGGTAATTGTCGCATAAAAACAGTACTTGAACTTGAAAAATATTTTTCTGTTTTTTTAATCCATTTCAAAACAGAAAACCAGAAAATGAATGAAAGACCTGTGAGTATAATAAGGAGAAAATTTTAATTGAAATTTCTAGGAATCTGATAATAATGTGCTACCATATTCTTCAGTTACGATCTACTTTACAAATATAGCCAAAATGCATCAAATGAACAGCTTTAATAGTCATACATTTGGTTTTCATACTCTTAAAATCATTAGCTTGGCTCAATTCTTAGCATAGATTAATAAAAATCACTATGAAAAAGTCTTTTGAACTTTCGTTCACTGGAACTTGTACTGTAAGGGTAAAGAAGAAACTTAGAAGTTGCTTTAGATTAGTCAAATCGCGATACATTCATTTTTTTAAAGCAATTGTTTGATATCTTAATTTCTTTAAATATTGAAATTCTACCAGTCACAGATCGTTTCTTACCTTATTGGCCTGGGAGCAATGTGATTTTTAGATGGTAACAAAAATGATTCTAAAAATCTAGTTTGTGGCTGTTGTCTTGTGTGTACACAGGTAATGGCTGGAAGGCTTCACGTCTAATTAAATTTTAAATTTCTTTTAAAACATCTGCCTTGTGTTTATATCACTAGAAGTCATTTTCCTGGCACCGTCTTCAGCCTAGAGGTTTATATTAACTTCTTCCTGGCTTTCTTCCTCTCCAAAGGAGAAGATTTTTATAATAACTCATTACAATGCTGGCTTACTAAAGAATTTCGATTATGTCAAATAATTTGATTCTCCCACCCCATCAGTCCTTACGAGATTTCTTTGGAAGACGACAGTTGCTTGAAATACAGACCAAATGTAGGTGCCTATTCTGTGATTTCCTTTTACTCTAGTAATTTAGGACAACTGGGAAAAAACCGCTTCTCTGCCTGCCCCCTCATATGTGGCTAGTATATCATTATTCCAGCAGGTTTTCTAAAAGCTTTTTGTGCACAAGTGCTCATTTTGAGGAATATTATCAAATGTGTTGCCCAACATTCTTCGTCAAATGCTTTTCAGTGCCTAGAATCATCACTTAACCGTTCGTGACCTGCTAAGCCAGCCATTAGTTAATCATTATGGTATCCATGCATCAGGGTGCTAATCTCCAAATCCGTAGCCTGCTCGTGGGTGTCTTCTGTAAGCTTAAATTGATTTCCTGCAGTGGACACCTGGGGTGTTAATGTAAGCAGCTTATAAAGAAATGGTGCGCTAAGTTCCTTTCTGGTGATGTCACTGTTGTAAAGAAGTTACAGAGAATAGCACTGAGGCTTACAAATGTATGCCTGCCATAGTTTTAACAATGGCTTGAACAGCTTGGTAAACAAAGAAAAGGCAACTTCCTGCTCTCTCCGACAGTTTTTCTCAGGTATTTAGTTACTCATCCTGGAAGTCTCGGTTACTGGAGCAGATTCCTGCCGAATGTTATTCATCAGATCTGACCTTAAGTAGGAATTTTAAAAGTAGGATCTTGAAAAGCAATATTCTCTTAATAAACGGCATTCTCTGGGAGACTCTCCCTCACTTTTCTCTGTTCTAAACTTACTGTATGGCTGCTCCTTGATGGGGAACGGAGAAGTCTCAGGTGTATCTAAAGTTTTTTCTATCAAAACATTTTCCTGCTATGGTTTAGAATGCAGACGAGGCTGATATTCTGCTCTGTTGGGCCAGACACATTTGGAAGCTGGATAGCAGGGCCATTTCATTAAGTACAGTGGGTTTGGCCTCACTGCATGATTAGAAGTGGTGCTAAAAATGAACAAAGACATCCTCAGCCATTATATCCTGGCTGCAGATACAGCAGTGTTGTTGCTGTAGAGAGTTGGCATTACCTGCCAGGGAATTAAGCAGGTCAGAAGTTCTGATTATAGATCAGGAGCCAGGCAGGAAGATCCTCTGCCTTCCTCCTGCCCCAACCTGTGGGCCTGACTTGATCTACAGAATTCACGCCTGGCCCTGCCAGCTGGTCTTCTGTTCCCTGTCTTCTTTTTTTTTTTTTAACATCTTTATTGGAGTATAATTGCTTTCCAGTGGTGTGTTAGTGTTCCCTGTCTTCTTGATTTGGGCTTAACAACCTCATTAAGATGCCCTGGGTTCTTGCCCTTGCTTCCTGCTTGTGTCTACTTTTCCCTTTTCCTGCCTGCCTCACCTTTTCACTTGATTTCTAACCCCCGTGCCCAGGCCTGCCATTCATCACTCTCTCTGTCAGTTCAGCTGGGTGTTCTCAAGCCCAGACTCCAGCTAATGTTAGCACAGCAGCCCCGCTGGGAATCCTGAAGCTCTGCCTAATGTAGAGACTCACCTCAGTAATGAGTGGCCTCATGCTCTTTTCAAAGAAATGTTTATCATCTTTTCCTTATTTAAAGTAAAAAATATGTTCATTGTAGAAAACATTGGAAAATTTGAAACTGAGTCCCCCTAAAACCGAGTTCTTCTGGCAAGTTTATGATTAACCTCTCTCTCTAAAACATTATTCACTTTCTTATCCTGCACCTGTTCCCCCTCAAGATTGAGGAGTCTCAAAGAAAAGGGTGGATTAAAGCTGAGCAGGACCCTCTAGGGCCTTCCTGGGTACACAGCCCCCTCCATGTCCCCTGTCTCTTGTGGACAGAAAAAAAAAGACTTTTGTTTCCTAGGCCTTCCCCCAGTTCCAAAGAGCAGTCTCAAGTAGTAAATGATTAGGACACAGGACTCCTAGTTCCTCCTGAAGGGATATAGATAACAATCTGATGCATATCTCTGAGTTCTGCAGAAACTAAGACCCTCTCCCAGGTAGAGGATGGTGACTACATGCTGAGCATAAGCATGTAGACCTCAGACTGGTGGAACCAGAAGGTTGAGGTTCCCAGAACATCACCCTGTTACCTCACCACCAACCAATCCGAGCTGATCCTGCATTCTAGGACCCTCTCCCCTAACATTTTCTTTAAAACCCTTGCCTGAAAGCCATCAGAGAGTTCGGGTCTTTTGAGCACAAGCTGCCCATTCTCCTTGCTTAGCCCTGCAATAAACCTTTCTCTGCTCCAGACGCTGACATTTCAGTACCAAGTGACAACGACTGTTTGTAACTATTTTGGTGTTTTGGACTTAAAATATATATATGGCATGTTTTCCTTTTGTGGCTTTATTTGGAATATTTAAAGCCTGCACAATAAAAGGAGCCACCTCATGGAGTGAGAGCCTTGCTAATGAGTTACTGCTAATTTTTTTTCTGTCTGGAAGCCATGGAAAAGAACACTTTTTGCCTGTTATTTATTGCTCAATGTATTAAGCAACTGTTAAATGTTTAAACATTATACAATTGAATTCCTTTAAATTATTAAATTTAGTAGATTTCTTTTAAAAAAATTTTTTTTTTGATGTGGACCATTTTTTTAAAGTCTTTATTGAATTTGTTACAATATTGCTTCTGTGTTATGTTTTTTGATATTTGGCCATGAGGCAAGAAGCTCCCTGACCAGGGATCGAACCTACACCCCCTGCATTGGAAGGCAAAGTCTTAACCACTGGACTTCCAGGAAAGTCCCAGTAGACTGCTTTTTTGAACACCTCAAATACCTTAAAACACAAGTAAAATGCCCAGATACATTATTACAAACTTACTACACTTAAACCTATCCTAAAAGATCCATACTACAAGTTTCACTCGTATTTTTGTTATTTATCCACTAATTTTTTTTTAAACAGGAAGCTTGCTAACCTCTCCTTTTATTGTTATTTTTATTTATTTATTTTTGGCTGCTCAGGTCTTAGTTGCGGCACGCAGGATCTTTCGTTGCGGCGCACGGGCTTCTCTCTAGTTGTGGCATGCGGGCTTATTAGTTGCGGCACATGAATTAAGTTGCCCTGCAGCATGTGGGATCTCAGTTCCCCAACCAGGGATCGAACCCACATCCCCTGCATTCTAAGGCAGATTCTTAACCACTGGACCACCAGGGAAGTCCCTCCACTAATTTTGACTCATCCTAGGGCTATAATATTTTGATACCTACCCAGAGTTCACATGGTTACCAGAAACAGAATACCTCTTCAGACCCACCCAGGTTACAGATCTGGTTTCTAACCAATCAGTTGTCAGTCAGAACATGGTGCCAGTTTGGGTTCTTCTCCTAAGGTGAGTCCAGCCTTGGCCACCAGGCATCAGACTCAACTTGATTTGTGAAGTCAGCCAGACCTTGTCATTTTTCTGTCTATGGCTTTCGGGTAGGTTTTTATTTACCATCCAGTCTCCACCCCCTGTCACCCAGAAATGATTTTCTTCCACGTCTTACTTGGCCAGTGTTACATAACCCATTGTCCTGTCATCATGATGTATTGGCCTGGTGTGTTAACATTATTAAAAACTGATGCATGCCTTTTGAATATTTTCTTGAAATTAGTTGGGCATTCTAGAGGTTTCTGCCCCGGGAGATGAGGGATGGACTCTGCTTGATGCTCTCTGGGACCATTTGGCCGATAGCACGTGGGATCCTGTTTCTGGATCCTCTCTCTGCTTGGCTATTGAGTGTGACCATCAGTGCTGAACCCTCTTTTCATCTGGCTATTTTTATCACCACCTGTGCTCCTCAGTCTGTTCTTATCTTGGGACACTTCCGTGGTTTTCCCGACTGTTTGGCTTACTCAGAGTTCCTGGTCTTTATTCTTTCTTGTAGTATAAATAGTACAAAAACAAGCACATATTTATACACTATAGACAGACATAGAAAAAACAAAGCACCTGTATTTTCATGACACTTCCCAACTTATTAAAATCCATACAAATATTATGTGTGTCTTATTTTATCTCTGTATTGCAACTTCCTTTTC